GTTGAGAAATTACACAGGACGAGGCCTCGGATGTGCGCCTTCACTGCTGATGGATTTTTAATTGAAAATTGTTTTCATTTATTTAAAGCGATCGGACTACGGATGAGAGAGAGAGAGAGATGAGTATATAATTATCCACATCATCGAGAGCTTGGAAACGAGGTAACCGAGAAGTGGGCATACAATATTTTTACGGCGCGCAGCACTCGTTTCGTCATCGGTTCGATCATTTCTCGTGTAATTAAATATATATTCATCGTCAAAGGAAAATCTATACCTCCTCGTTTGATTCTCTTTAATTGCATAGTAATGACCATTTTTGATTTGTTGGAAAAAAATCAATAAGCAGATAAACTTGAAATTTTACAATAACAATTGTTTATACCTTTCGTAAAAATCAAATGATAACGCCATGTGCAGTATATATCCATACGAGAGTTCATTTATTCTAATGAAAAAAAAAAAAAAAAAAAACCTAACTCAATGACTATATTTGAGAGACTTTGAGGCGTCATCGAAAAATAAAAAAAGGTACAACTTTTCCACCCGTGTACCATGCACACAGTACAGAGCGACATGACCGATACAGTTAGCTCAAAGGAAGTAAGTACCGATGACGATATAATAATGGCTGTACAACCTCTGGAGCGGCTGTCGATAAAATGGCATCTGTGTATACAGTAAAAGGGGAGAATGACAAAAAAAAAAAAAAAAAAAACGAAAAGGATAACGCATAGCATAGGCGAGCGAATTTCTATTTTCGTCACGCGAGAGAGCGCGATATGCGCCGCGGTAATTCCAAGTCATCTCCTCGAGCCGCGCTTATTACCCGTACACGGAGAGAGAAAAAGAAGAGCACCAGCATCATCATCAACGAGGGAGAACTGCAATCCGAGAGGGAGAGAGAGAGAAAAAGGACGAGCAGAAGAAAGCTAGCGGCGGCGACGACGGCACCTTCGAAATAATTGGCGCTACGGCGCCACGTATATAATATACTTTTGAGGTCGACGGCGGGCAGATATGCTTGCGACATGTACGTATATACTCATTTCCCCGCAATTATAACGCGTATATTATACATAGGCGCTCGCGTTTCCGCGGACCGATATACTCCTTCGAGAGCCGTAACCGAGACATTATTTTCTATTCCTGGAGCCTCTGGCGCTCGTTGGTGTATACCCGCTTCTATTAATAGAACGCCATGGTCTCGCAGCTTCCGTCTTTTACTCGATGCACATTTCAACTCGAGCCCCCATTTAGAGGCGGAGATCCGCGTCACATTATACACGCTCCTCCCCCCGCAAGAAAGTCATCGGACCCGGCGCCGTCCAGCCGATCGATCTTACCGCGCGCTCGTGTGAAAGTCGTACACTTTTACCGGGGATCTCGTAGGCATGTATAAATATACGTACACACACGCTCGGTGCATTTATATGCGCCGCGTCGCTAATTGCTCGTGTTCCGGTGCTCTTTTCTTTCTTTTCCTCTTCTATGTATTTAATCGACTCCAATGATATGCTCCCCGCAATGTACACCTGCCCCTTCTATACACAGCGGGGCCGGTGCTTTATTATGGTTCGATGTATAAATAAGTGCATACTCTGCAGGCGTGCCATCATCAGCTGAGGCTGCATCGGCGCCGTCGAAGCCGGATTATGCTCGTTTTGCCGTACGAGCTTATAAATAGCCAGCTTCGCGGTCTTTTTTTCCTTCTCTCCACGCGGTGTGCATCGCCGGCTTTGATTATCGTTATCGCCGGAGAGTGTCGATTTTGCCCGCTATCGGCGATTGCGACCATTACCGGGCCCTACCGGTTGGGTTTTACGACTTTGGGCTCCTTTTGTCCCATCGTTTTTTCACCCGAGAGAGTTTCGATTCATTTGCTTCTTTTTCCGTGGAAACTACAAGTGTAAAGGCTTTCAGCTTGGGTTTAATTGTATACACGGCAAAAAGAAAACGCCAAGCGGCCGACACGAGTTTTTTGTTCTCGTTGGGACTGATTCTTTTTCTCGGTGCAGCGTTGAACACGTGTACTATACTTGCCTACTTTTAGTTGTCAAACTCCGTCATCGCGTTTTTTTTTTTTTTTTTTTATTCATAAGAGCACTGCGGGTTACGCGAAAGATTACGTGTGCGAATCGCTAAGGTACGTTGCATTTTTCCACTTGCTCGAGATTCCGCACGAGCTATATGTATTTCATCGGTACACCCAATAAACAATAGTATGTATGTGGCATTGAAATTCGCGAAGGAAAAAAACATTGACGCGCGAAATTTTCGACAAAAGCTCCCATACGCATTAAGAGATTTTTTTTCAACGTGTGCGCGCTTGACGTCGGATGGGACGCGAGTCGAAGCCACGATGGTCGGCATTTTTCGAGCAAGCGCGTGACGTCGCGAGCTTTTATTTCTACTTGAACCGCAGTACGTATAGCTCCGAGTGTCGTACGAATGTTGATACACACACATGTGCGACTTATCGCCGCGGCACCGCCAGTCAATTGAATGCCAGTGCAATGCGCAAGTCCGGTCTTATATTTGCGCTCCATGTGAGCTATAAGCCGACCTTCCGACGTGTATAAACGCACTTAGGTTCTCAAGAAAAATTACCGTGAAATTCATGGCGGTGCTGAAAATTTATAAACACCTCTGTACATTAAAATGAAAGGAAATTGCATATGCCTATTACCTAATTCAATTTTCATAGACGAGTAAAACGCTCGTTTCATATTCAACAATTAATCGGATGCTTCGATCTTTACACATCCACAAGAGCATCGTACCTGTGACTTTGTTTTTTTTTTTTTTTAATTTTCATACAAAGTATTTCGCAGTAATTTTTTATGGGAATCGCGTGTTTATAGTTCAATGTTATACCTGCGCCGTATAAATATCTATGTAAGGCAATAGGATGTGTAAGTACAACTGATGAAATTCATTTGCGGTAATTATGATTTACCGACTGCTACGCGCTGCCAAGCGGTCGTAAATATATATTTTTTTTTCTTCTCTTTTAATGAATGACGATGAAGGATGTGTTGCATAATTTCAGCCTCCGCCGCGGAAAAATGAAATTCTCTTTCCACCGCCGCTGACGAGACGTTTCGCTCCTTCTTCTATTGTTTACGCGGGATGACTGCAGCTATTTTTTTTTTTTTGTTATCTTCCTTTTTTGCGCTCTACAGCGTCAAACGCACGTTCTGTCCGAAGGAACAACGTAATAGGCAGCGGGTGATGGACGTAATTGTCGAAAGTCTTTGCTTTGCATTCAAATAACTCTCCATCCGTAGCTGCAACTGGCACGTACACGTATACATGTATTTTCTTGCAATGATTCACGCGTACCGATCGGCATGCAAATTATGTCACTCTATAACTTTGAGGGGATATATTATATATAATCGTGTACACAATAGTACAAATGATACTGTACATAAAGTCAGACGCGTGTCTTTCAATTGTCCATGATGATACGGCCGAAGCGATAAGTTATCTATTGAACGCTCGCATTACCCCGATTACGTTTCACACACCATGCGTTCTTCGATCGATCGATCGGTCGCTACTTTGTTCACGCGGAGACAGGTATTAGCTACAACAATAAAAAAAAAAAAAAAAAAAATCGGCAACAGGCACGCGGTTCAAGGCTCGTCAGCTCTGTCGCGCAGCTTAGCTCAGAAGCCGAGAGTCGCGAGAGGTGCACGCGCTCGAAAGTTACGAATCAGCGCATAATGCCGTTGCACAACCCGACAGCCGCGGCTACAGCGACAGGCGGCTATAATATACGGTATCGCAACCCGTGCACGCGCCTAGGCCCGAGACCCCCCCTCCGCCCCCACGTGCGTCGCCATCTTTTTTCTTTATTTCTTTTTTTTTGCTCTCGCACGTGCGCCACACTGCGCTTTTGATGGTCCTGGATTGACCGACTCTTCTTCCGTCGTATAGCACGTGCGTCAACCTGTGAAAATCGGCAAAGATCGGCGCGCGATCGACATCGATTTCTCGAAAGGGGGGCGAAGGCAAAAGGCAAAAATCGTTCGCACGGGGATTCCCCCGAGGACGAGTCACGAGTAAAAATAGCCGAAAAAACCGAAGACCTTCGTGAAATGAAGAGAGGAGATGGGATTACGAGCTTATAACCCGAAAGAAGAGAAAAAGAGAGCCTTTTGCTTGCAGCAGCAACAACGGCAGAAAAGCCGAACGTGCCGCGGTTGTTGGAGAAAACTGGTTCTGGTTTCGTGCGGGGTATAATGCAAGGCACCTTATACACACAAAGAGCAGCTGACGTGCTTATATATACAACAGATATACATGCAGATATAGTCTTTGCGGGTCACATATTACAAGGAAGGAGCCTCGACTCGGTCGGGGGATGGGAGAAATATACCTTTGGAAAAGATGTCCTGCCCGCTGCACACCCGCACACAGCTGTTGTAGCCGATATGACAACAACCGAGACCTGTCATCCCCCCCCCCTTGGCGATGCAGTTTACTTTGATCGGAAGCCACTGCCCCGAGCGCGCAGCACGTACCTATATGTATATCCTATTGTATTGCTCGTGTTCGTTTGCACTGCGTGCGAAATGTCCACTGGTGCCTCGTCCAACAGTTAAATATACATGTATGTATACACGAAAAGGTGACAACAACGAGCCGAGCGCATGGCAGAGAGAGAGAGAGAGAGTGTCTCTCTTTTCGTGTCCTGCACTATATATAAATGTGGCTCCGAAACGTTGTTGGTGTGTGTATATAAATGTACCTCGTTTTATTGTACAGGTGTGTGTGTGTATTATTATATGTATATATATATGGGGCCCAGTTTCCCGTTACCATTGTCGGCGCGGCAAAAGATGTAGAACGTTGGGGGCCGATTTCGCTCGTTGTCGCCACACACCAATCTATATCGTATGCGACCGAAATTTCGCGGGGAATAAAAAAAAAGTTCGGTATCGGCAGGGCGTTTAATTGCATACTTAATGAGCGACGTGCCGAGTACTCACTTGATCAGGATCCTCCAGAAGCAGCCGAAGGAAGAGCCGTTCGGCACTTCGCTCGCGTACGAGATCGTCATCCCGAAGGGGGAGGGATCCTCCGGCTCTCCTCTGCTCTAGCCCGTCACCAGTGCCTCACATCGAGTGGCGGTTAGCCGTGGGCTCTCCCACGAGGGCTCCAGGTTGCTGCGCTAGCTGCAGTACACGCCTCCACTCTGTATTACCGCGGTAGAGCCTGTAATAGAAGAGCGAACGCACGAACGGAGCCGCGATATGTGTGGCGGGTGATCGTCGTTGGGGACTCGGGAGAGCCTCTCGCGGGACTGCAGGAGCCGAGCGACGGGCCCCGGCTCCGAGCTGCTGTTTCCACCACCTGCTGTAGCCGCCGCTGCCGCTCCGGTGCCTACTGTACCCTGTGTTACAATATAAATATACCGAAGCGTAGGTGGGGGTCCCGCGGAGGAGAGCCGAGCTCTCAGCTGAGCTGCAATAGGTGACTCCAACTTTTGCTGTTCCTCCATTGTCATGTATATACGTACGTACATATACTTGTATGCACTTGCCAATTTCACTCTCGCTTGCTGCTCCACCTACCAACATTGTAGTGAGTATAATAGTTTACTCGATTTATCAATGGGTCATGTAATTGTGATTAATCATTTGAAATTAATTTTTACCTCTACTTTATGCCTTTGGTGATTTTTTTTTTTTTCTTCTTCTTTGCATCCCAAGACTAATAAGATTTACGAAATTACCTTGCTCAAATGTATGTGTTTGCGGATTACTCGAGATTGTGTCGTTTGCTTATTGATAAGGACATAACGTACTCGACAATGCGTAAGTTGAAAAACAAAAAACCAAAATTTTTATTTATCTTTAGCTATGTGCGCGTGCAGGGTCATTGCCGTATTGTTATCTACTTATTGTCGTCACACGAACTATAAACAAAAAAAAATACCTGTAATTTGAGCACTACTCCTCCCGTGACCTTGTACGCGATGTACGAATCTCGAGGTTCCCAAAAAAGTGAGTTCGAGCTCCTCTCGGATAAGACAGTACATTACCCTTTTTGTTGCTCATCCCACATAGTTTGCAGAATATAAGTACACCACTTACGTGTGTTTTGATACAGGTGTACTTTGATAATGATGTGATTTGTCAAGGCTTCGCCTCGCCGTTATCGCAATAGCCATAAGAATGGCTGAGGAAATACGTAGTACATAGTTCTCTCTCTTTTTTTTTCGCACATACATGTATCTGTTTTGTTTGCTGAAGGTTGATTTGCTGATTACGTCTCTTGAAAACCATTCACCATTAATTTTTTTTTTTTCTTTTCCATCTAATTGAATGTTGTTTTATCTAACACTTGAACGTTGTATTAAAAAAAAAAAACGCGCGTCATAATTTTGCTCTTTCACTTTGATGCAAGATAGTTTTATTCTCAAACAAAATCATACAAAAACCAATGTTATGGATGTAGAAAAAAAAAAAAAAATTATTTCGACACGAGCGTATGGATAAAACGTCCTTTTGGCACCGGTCAAGCAATTGTAATTTTGCGTCGAGCGACACCTACGGAAAGACCGTCCAAGCTGCGGCTTACCTTGTCGCCGGCCTAGCCTCCGGCAAAACAATTTTTTTTCTCTCCCTCTCTGTGACCACCTGCAGCCCCTCTCCCCTCGTACCTTCCTCTCGCGTTGCTTTACACTGGAATTTTGATGTTTCCTTCATTGTTTCAAGATGATCGTTATTCTTAACAAATCGATTCGCGAATAGAGTAAGTGCAGGGACATCCAAGCTCACGTATTGAATGTAAATAAAAGGATCTTTGTCGCAACTCATCGATCACTCTACGGCAGGAGTAACCAAAATAACAAAAATTTGGACCGTTATATTGTTGACTCTGTAACAAATTAATCAACGTACAAAAAATTGGTAATTTAAAAAAAAAAAAAAAAAAAGTTTGTACAGTAATTATAATATTGCGTGGCATAGTTATTTTGATCAAATTACTGGAGCACAACGAGCCAAACGAATGAAATGGCCTTCCGATAATTAGGCGACGTGACACCGTTTGACGAGTATAAACTTGAAAACCGAAGCGGTCAATGATTATACAGAGAAATTGTCGGTGGGAAAGTCGAGTCAAAAGCAAACTTTGTTGGCAAATTATTGTTATCCATCATCATCATTTGT